TATCTTTTGTTTTGTGAAGAATTGAGCAACTTTGGATAAATTCTCCCTCAATTCTTTAGCCTCTATTTGGATTGAAGGAGTTGAGGGGAAAGAGGAGGAAAGTGAAGGAGAGATCTTGCCCCTTTCTTGTTTAGATAAAATTATTAAGGAAAGGGAATAAAGGGCAAACAAACTCCCTCCAAATTCCTTATTTTTAATCCCTCTAATTTGGGGGGATTTGGAGGGATTCGATTTACTTTTATTTCAATTTTTTAACTTCTTTTTTTTTTTTCAAAAATGAAACTAAATTTCTATTTTAACTTTAATTTTAATATATAAATTTATAAAATTTTAATTAATTTTATAATTATTTTCTTTAATTTTTTTAATTAAATAAAAAATATATAACATTCCCCTCCTCTCTTTCCTCTTTTTTAATCTATCCAAACAAAAGTTAATACAAATTCTTTACTTTCCTTCCCTTCCCCTCTCTTCCCTTTCCCTCCCTAGCCTTCACTTTTATTTACTAATTTTTATCCAAACATATCCTTAAACAAAGAGGGGTTCTACTTTTTTTTGGGGTTGGGGGGGAAGGGGGGGGTAAAAATGATTGGTTTTATCATTGGATATAAGTTGTCGTGATCTATTAATTTGAAATTTAGAAAGATAATACAGTGATATTAATTGAGAGTCTAAATTAAAATTTTAATAATGTGAAGTTTGAATTTTAAATAAATAATATATTCTACAAGAGTTTTTTTTATATAAGATTCAAATTAGATTTAAAGAAGATTTTTTTTTAATTTTTTTAATCTAGTAGATAAAGCAATAATTTTAATTTTAATTTATCTCATTTTCAGTTGTTAGTTAATAATGAAAAGCAAATGGATAATCACCATTCTAATTAATTTAAAGAAGAAAATATTAAAATATCAAAATAAGATTATAATTTGAAATTAAATTTAAGAAAGAAAAGATTAAAATCAACTAATAAATAAAAGAGTTCTCTAAACACTAATAAAATTTTAATTATTTTTTTAATTTTGGACCTTAATATATTTTTGGTCTTAATGATAACAAAATTTAATAAGATATAAGTTCTATTGATCTATTAATTTGTAATTTAGAAAGACAATACAATGAGAATAATTGCAAATTTAAATTAAAAATTTAATAAGGTGAAGTTTGAATTTCAAATAAATGATTT